TAGTTAAAAAATGTGAATGAAAAGAGGCAAAAGATTCAATGCGTGTGTTCCTGAAAGAGACGCTTGAAACCCATGGTGTCCCTACCAAAATTAACTATCATCACCTGCTAAAGATTGCTTAATTCCTACAGTTTGGTGGCTTCAAATCCTAGTTTTTTGCAGTTTAAAATCTCATTTTTTTTGTATCTGAAGCAAAATTTCAAGGTTTGTAGTTACACAGCGATGACAGGGAGAGAGAGAGAGAGAGAGACGGAGATAGAGAAAGAGAGAGGGTGATGATGTATATATATATATATATCATTTTATATATAATTATATATAATATAAGAGAATATATAAGCATAGTTCAAAATCCACATTTTTGTGGGTTAACTCATGGTTAAACCTCCCATTCAGATATTCAGATTCTGATCTTTCCCAGGAACAAGTCGTCTCTGAAAGGGGTCTTCGCCGGCTGCACCGCGGCTGTGGTGGCGACCTCAGCTGTACCAAAGTTGAAGGCATGGTCCCTGCGACTCGGTGATTGATGGATTCTTGCCATGGGCTTTTAATGGCGTTTTTTACGGGGATTTAACATGATTTAACCAACCAAAATGGTGATATGATTTAAAATCATAGAGTCTTGTCTGTTTCTAAGTGATCCTTTTCCAAAACCCAAGTGGCCCTCTGCTTTGGGATCAAGGGGGGATGGTCCCCGTGTGCAGCCATGGAGAGCCCAAGTTCTCTGGCTACTGGATCGAGCGAATGTTCGAGCTCTAGCAGTCCAGAGGACTTCTTTTGAGGGGGGTCACCCTCCTAGCTTTGTTTAGTTTTTCAGGATCTATGTGTTGATTAGAGTCTGGGTCCTGGATTTGTTTTTCTTTGGTTTGCAGGATATTCAAATTTCCCAGCGCATTATTGACTACACTGAAATTGGCCCGTCCTTTCTGCAAACATCTGGAACCCTTTCTGCATTACTTAGTGTGCATTCTAGATTGTGGTGTGGTTCTGGGCAATTTGGCCACTTGTTGTTTCATCGTTGTTGCTTTGAGTTCCCTACCTATCTCAAGGATTGAATGACTGGATGTTGAGCTTTCATGGTCACTTCACTTATGCCAGTGATTGTGTCTTGTTAGCATTGGGGCTGATAGTTTGAAGTTGTTTTTACTTCATTGTGTTCGAACGTTCTTTACTCTGTGAGGTTCTGGGGCTGACGCACCATACCATGGACTGGAAATGATGTTTCACGCGGCTGGAAAGCTTGATGCCTTGAAGTTTCAGCAAGGGGCCCAATTTGTGTTCGGAGTATACTACTTTATTTGTACTATTTTCGTCCATTTTGGTTTATGTGCTTGTTTGCTTTTCCTAGGTCTGCATCAGAGGTAAACCCTGAAAAGCGGGAGTTCTTGAGGGGCAATGCCGGGCTTGTGGGGGAGATACTTGGCCCATTCATTTTGCATTGGAAATTTAAGCAGTTGACTTGAAGGATAATAATAGAAATATTAACTTGGGTTTCGCCCAGGATATGCCCTGATATCTTCACCAAGGAGGACCAGCGGCTGCCAATTTATGATGTTGCTTGGCTTTTCGTCGTGGGGCTGGCCTGCTTTCTGTTCTGAACCTTTCGATCCCAATTTGTGATTTGTTTTCTGGAGGCAAGTGCATATGCCGCTGGATTTCCGTGTACTCCTTATAGTTTGCTGAGCTGTACACGGAAAATGCTTCATGACCAGAATGCTCGCCAACTTTTCCGTGTTATCAAGCGGCTGCGGAGATACCGACCTAAAGCTTCTTGAATAAACTATGCGATCGTATCGAGTTGTCTTTCTTTGATTGTTGCAAGGCTCTATTCATATCACACGTTTTTTCAACACTACAGGTTGCAGCTTTGGAGAATGTCCTCGGATTTCGTCCAATTCTTGGGAAAGTGATATCCCTGATCCAAGCGAATGTGCCAGGGCAATGTGGTTGCATTAACATTTGATTTGCGTTCCATTCTTTGGCTCTGTTGTGCCATCTACGGTTTAGTAAGAAGCCAGTTTGTAAGGTATGAGATCAGCAGCCATATCCTGACACCGTGCCTCGGTTCTGTTGTCAACACCTGCCAACATGTTCAAGTTACATACAAATGTTCTCCAATTCTGTTCATTGAGATTTCCCTACTTCTGTTCTCATGTTTTCCATACTTGTGTTTTGAAATGTTTCCATGTTTCTGTCACTGTCTTGTTCTTAAAGTTTCCCTATTTCTGTCTTGAGGTTTTTCCCTATTTCTGTTCTCAGGACATTCTTTGGCGCTCCACTGTCTCGGAGGAGAATATTTTTGGTCATGATCAGGAAGGATTGTTTGCGTGACCTGGGGATGAGTTTGGATGACTACATCGTAGAAAAGCTTAGGGGCATGAACCAGCCCATCCAGCACACATGGTCCCTTGTCAGTATACACAGGATTGATTATTGCATGTCTTAAACGGTTTTGATCAAAATAGTTTGTTCTTCGTCATTTTCTCCTGCATAAGGCAAGAGCTTCTTCTCCCTTCAGACCACCCAGCTGTGAAGAAGGATTGCAGGGCGAAAGAGGGCAAACGGGTCAACAACTCTAGTAAGTGGCTGGGTGTAATTAGTATGGGCGACTGGCTTCCCAAATTTCCCCTGTAAGTTTAGCCCCTTGTTGCGTAATCCCATCCCCCCAGGGTTATCATGTCTCAGTGTTTCCCAAGGCCTCTGGACCGGAGTGCAAAATGGATCAAACAACACCGATGCTGGGCAAAGGATAAGCAGGTTGGGTTGGCTTGTGGCAAGACAAATTATGCAATCATCTCTCATAGGGATGAACTATTATTATTATATACTCATGTTTGGGGTTTGGGATGAACTATTATATATACTCATGTTTGGGATGACTGCCGGGCAGGTTGATGTGCTTAATGCCCGCTCGAACTTTATGAACAAGTACCCAGAAGCAGCTCGATATATCACCACCCGGCGAGAAATGGAGGCATTTTTTTTTTAAACATGTTACAGTATCGTCTTTGCTATTCTTAGCCAGCACATTATTAAACCCCTACTGTTCGCTGCTGGAAAGGCCATAGCATTGCTGTTGGCTCACAACCCCAATGTGGCGATTGCAAACACGTCCCAGAGCTTGCGACAGATGCCTTTTGCTACAAACACCAAAGCAGCTCTTCCATGCCTCACGTACAAGCCTCAATCACCATGAACTTAAGTCTGAAATATGTTTTATTCGATTTAGACGTTGCCCTTCACCCCAAAAAATAAAAATACGTGGTGCCACATGAGGCCAAAGGGGAAGTGGCTTGCGCTGGGCATCCAGCGGTACTTGACCGGGAAGGAGATCATGTTTCTGATGGGGTTCCCGATGCATCGCATGGTGACCAATGTGGATGACAGTGTAACATGGATGATTTCCTAAGACAGGTGCCAAAATCATAGCTTTCAATGTGGAAAAAACTAAATAGTTTTCGGTACTTTGGGCTTCCGACTTTTTCAAACCCCAATGTTTGGATAGATCTGTGAGGCATAGTGATTTCCAGGCTTGCCCTATCGCTGGCACACACACACACTGTGTCCACACAGCTGGCCCAGGTATTGCACGACCTGGGCGGCAACACCATGTGTGTCCGGGTTATTTCAGCCCTTCTTGCTGTCGCTATCACTGCGACGCGGCCTGACAAGATGGCCCACCAGTCTTGAAAGATTGAACGGGAAAAAAATCCTGATATCTGTGCTTAGTTAAATTGTAAGTGGTGCACACTTGCTTTGTAATGTGGTTTTCAATGGACCTGCACGTAGTTTTCAATGGACCTGCACCTTGCTGTTACTGCAAATCATGATGCTCGGAGATCAAGTCTGGGGATTAAACTGAACCATGCTTTGGGAAATTTAATTTCATCCAACAAGTTATCATGATGCTCGGAGATCAAGTCTGGGGATTAAACTGAACCATGCTTTGGGAAATTTAATCTCATCCAACAAGTTCCTACAAATACCCACATGTAAAAAAATAGAATTGTTATAATAGCCACGGCATGCTAAAACATATTAATATCAGATTACAGGACCCTTCTTTGTCATTTAGAGATGCCGGTCCTCTCCCGCTATGATGCTGCAAGCGATGCAGTAGTTCCGAGTGGCTTGGGGAGATATGACCCTTCATCATCAGAATATGATTCTGGGAAGCTGGGCTGCAATTGTGGTCTCTGTGCTGGAATACCCGGGACAGTGCGAAACTCTCAGCAAATTGTGAAACCTAGGACTCCAAGCAGCTCGAGCAATGACGCCATGTCTGTTTCAGAGATGACTGACTCAGAATCTTCTTCCAGTGGGACTAGTAGTGATGATGGTGGTGAAAGGGGACGAGTGGATCTCACTAGTCAGAGATTGCAATCAATGCATGCAGTTGCAACCAATGGCAAAGCCAAATCCATGTCCAAATATTCCACCAATGGTTCTTCAAAACAAAGAATCCGAAAAGCAGTGGAAAAGCCTATTTGTACATGTCAATGCGCTGTTCCATTTCGAATCGTGCTTCGAGTTGCTGTGGCCTTCTGGCTGCTCACAAAACAGGGTCAGGATACAGTTCTTTGGACAATCCAGCATGAGAATCCGGGGAATGGCTCCAAGAAGGATTGGTTCATTGAAGGACCCAAATTCAATGCTTCAATTTCAACCAGTTGTAAGAAAAAAGCTATCTATTTTTTATTCTTCCACATCCACCTCACAATTAACATTTCCAGGACACCCATGTTGCAAAGTGGCATGGATGCATCTCTTGGGCATTGGCAAGAAGCGTTTACACCGCTGTAAGAGAACATGCTTTGGAAAAGATGGCAGATCAACTGTGGGTCGTACCTTATTCGAATTATATAGATTTTTTCACCCTGAAACTCTTTGATATCTATCTGTGAGCATACCAGCTAGCAAATCAGTACGCCAGCTGTCTCTCAGGTCTTGCCGGCAAGCCTGCCGAAAAAGCAGCCTCGGTTCGAGCTTTCTTCTTGCATATGTACTGGTCTGCAGGGGAACCAATGACCAAGGAGTAGCTTTTCTGCAAATAGTCCTCAGCCCTATTGATTAATTTCCATTTGACCCAGAGAGAAAAAATGAAAATCATCATTGTTTTGAAACTTCAGGGTGGCTTCGAAGACCTGTTTGAAGCAAGCTGATGATGAGTTGAGACAGCAGTTGCTTGAGCGGCTGGTGGACACACACCTGATGAGTCCTTTCCTGCAGTTGTCCTTCAACCATGACCCGCAACGACTTCCATTGCGGGAGTTGTCTCATGGATCTTGGAGTGAACTCTTCTTGGTCTACAAGAGTTACTGCCGGGTCAAGAATGAAGCCCCTGCATGTCGATCAACGTTCTTCCAAGTAGCTGTTGAATGGAAAGTATGTCTTAGGTTCCATAAGAAGACCCAGCATGCACAGTGTGCTACTTGTGCCCAGTTGCGATCTGCCCTTCAAAACGCATATGAATCTTGATTGTGTCTAGCTACTCATTTTTTTAATCTTTATACAAAGAAGTTGATGATAAAGGATACCTTAAGTTTTGTCCCCAACCTGTCTTAGACCAACAATTCCATTACCCCTTGCCGTTGCCCAGGACTTCAACCAGGAGGCCAAGATTTCGGATCAACTTCTGGCCCACTTCACCCAGACCTGGAAGGACCGGCAGGTATACTACATGGCACGCGAACGTGCCAAAGTGCAGCGTGACATCATGACGATCATAGTGGATTCCTATGACCATTGCAAAATGAGTTTGCCAAAATACCCCATGTCCCGAACGCCAAAGCGTACAATTTTCGAAGCTACACGACGCAATCTGATTGAATTAGTGATGTGTTTGAATTTGAAGATTCCCAAAACCTCTTGCCATATCTGTTTTGACTAAGGTACATACTTGACGCTTACTGGATGCATAGTTCACGGGACCGGCATCTATATGTATCTTTCCGATGAAGGAATGGCTGGAGGATCGAATTGGACGATAGAATGTGTAGCTCAACTGTACTAAACCTGGAATTGCATCAACTTCACCCCATATTTAAAACATATGCCTGCTCATATCCCACTTGGCAAAGGTGATGAAATCCATCGACAAAGCCTGGGCAAAGATGAGGTCTCTCAACCGGGAGCTCCCAGCAGAGTTTCAGTCTCAGCATAGTGTGGCGGCTGTTTAATATGCCAATAGTTTGCCAATCTGGTGAGAACCCAAAAAAAACATTTGTTCAAACGTATGCCAATTTGAGGTTATGGGTCCAGGGGGACAACACCCCGAAAGAACTTCGAAACTCGTTTACCGGGAAGTGGGCCTGCATGATGGTTCAAGGCAGATTTTTCAAGGGTGTGTCCCACCACCATATGGTGGTGGGACACACCCACGAAGACATAGGCGCTGTTTGGGTCAAATTGAAATGATTCTTCCAAGTGTTTACAAATGGTTTGTGTTCATAACTTCATGTTCTATCTTACCTGTTCCCCTGTCCAGATGGAATATTCTCATTGGTGACGGCAGCGGTGAAAGCAGAGCCAGACTTGCAGACTCCTTCAGATATAATGCGGTTTCCTGCTATCCAAGTAAGCTGTGCTGTTTACAAACGAAATATTTTTTCGACCTATGTAATGTAATTAGTTTGCCAATGCCATATATATATATATCCAGACTAAAACAACTCCTATATAATTGAAACAGTTCATGTGAGACTACGAAACTATGTGGTTTTTTTTACCTTGTTGTGTTTGTAATGTGGGTTATCAAGCATCTTGATGATTATTTAGTATCCGGTATGTTGAACAAATATGTGGAGTAAACTTATCTCAAGTATTTCCATTGATGTCTGAAAGGGCAAAATTCGTTGATGAACCATGTATTCTTAGATGGGCCTATGAGCTTCATAGATTAATCCGAAGTGACATTTTTCCTGTCTTTAAATGACGTTATCGGATTTTCCTGTCTTTAAATGACATTAAGTTTCTGGTCTGGTTTTCTCAGCCCGCTGCCTTCTCATCCAAGGTGCTTGCAGAAGAAGCTGGCACCCTTGTTCAGCAAGAGCGGCCTGGATTTCCAGATCGAGCACGTTGATGCTGCAACTCGTCTCCAAAAACCTGGGTGCAGTGAGTGCAAGAAAGTAGCCATGTGACATTATTTCAAGGTATCCCCAGGGTGGCAACCCCAGCTAATAACATTCCAACCATTTGCATCGGAATCGTTTAAGGTGAGAAATTGGTGCAAACTTATGCCATCCTCATCTACATTGAAGAACGCATATCGTTCCCGAAAGACGGATGAGGAGAACAACATGAAAGTTCCACAGTCATTTTCTTTCATGTGCAGGGAAGGCTTGGGGTTCCAAAAAGAAATATGTACCATGATGTTCCCACTTTAGAAAGAAAACAAAAACCATACAGTATTATACTTTAATGCGTTCTACTCCTTACTCTGATCCCTGACTTTGTTGTTACACCCTGTCAGACATGCCTGGTCAAGGGCACAACCTGGAAGTGGATGACAATGTGCCCCGACGCTTGCGGTCGGAAGGGGCAATGAAAGATGTTTTTGCAATGGTAAAAGGGTATATGTCTGATCAGTCTCTGATTCAGCCTCCTTTACTTTGTTACCCCGCAAGCTTTGCAGCCAGTACAGAAAACTACTTCAACCAGATCAACAGCACCAGGGAGGTGGTGCATCAGGAACTTGAAGCTGAGCGCATTGCTGAGCTTGAATCTTTGGCTGCAGCCATATCCAAAGACTTCCCACACATGGACCGGGCTGTTCGATACTATCGTACTGTGATTGACATGGCAAGACCTCGAAAACCTTTTTCCAGACTTTCCTTTTTGGATGCTGGGCCATTTCAAAGGAATGGCCTGGGGAATGTTCAATTACCTCAGCGACCTGCTGAGCCAATGAACCATTGGCTTCAGGTGGTCTTTCATCATAGCCGGGGATAGTTTATTTGCATACTATGCAATTGGGACTTGAAACACGTTTGGCGTGGGCACAAGGGGAGTGCAAAAGGGAAAGTTGCAAATAGCTAGTTCGACCCACACACGCTGAACATTGTGTGCAATCCCATGTCCAAGCTTCCCAGGTTCATGTGTTTTGCTGATTTGAAAAATTGGCTCTAGGACGGCCTAGCGCCTTGCTGTGCAGTTGTGATCTGGCCGGGATCATGGCTGATGTGAAAACGGAAGATGGTGACCCCATAGAGGAACTCCGAGCCTATTTCGATACGGTCTCATCCTTGGTTTTTCTATGGAGCACTACCATCATATCAAAACATCAAAGAACATATATGTTGTAGTTTGGATTTTTTGGTTTGCAAGGTGACAGTGAAGAAGAACTTGGGGAAACATGTAGACGACGTTCTTGGAGACGAATCTTTGCGTTTCCAGGTGCTTACTGACAAGTTGTTTTGATGATTTTGGGGGGTTGTCAAGAAAAAGGGGTATTGAGTATCAGTGAATACCTGCTATTCTAATGTGGTCTGGTTTACTTGGCATGCAGGTGTTGAAGCGCTTGGTTTTGGATCGTGGGGCGCACCTGGATCCAAAGCCCACCTTGTCTTTGGTGCCACAAGCTTCCTTGTCAGAATTCTGGCTACCGCTGACCGCCTTTCATTTGGGGGAGAGCGCCAAGAATGGATGCCTGGGACTCAAGTGTTTGGATGTTGTTTAATGACAAGTGTTTTAGTACCCTTTCTCATTCTTGTGCCCTGTTACCTAGTTCCACCCCTTTTCTAGTTCCACACCTTTTACTGTGTCCCTGCAGACTGGCCGCAAAATGAGCAGTGCCGCCTCCATTTTGGAGAATTTTGCAGAGGATACCGACCAAGCGCTGAGTCGGTGGAGACACGCTTCCCCTTTAGTGATTCCAGCAGGCAGATCAAAGACTTCTCAGTATGCTTCAACGACGGATTCACGAAAGTTCTTTTGATGACAGCCATTTGTTGTTTCATCCATGAGCTTGATTCATGGCCAAAAGGAACATTTCACTTTCACTGTTTAATTGGTGTGTTGACGAAAGGGTCTTTACCAGGTTGTGATATTATGTTGTTGTTTGTTAAGCAATATTTTTGTTTTTCTATAGCGGCGGCAGTCTGGTGAAAAAGGGTGCCACTACAAACACCAATTGTTTGACTTGGAAAATATATACCTTCCCAGAAACAACCTAACTAACCTTCATCAGGAATGGTCGGATGATCGCTTGGACAACCCGGAGGTTTGCAAGATGCTGGAATCATTTCGATGGATTCGCTGCAGTTTCACATACTTCCCAAACCCAGCAACCCATTTCCTGCATAGCTTGCGTGCCTCTATTGCGCATTGGTTTCTTCCTGTGGGTGTTCCTGTGTTTTTTTCAAGGGGGCATTTCCTTGCACTTTTGTATAGTCCCTGATAGTCCTAAAGTTTGCACATCTGAGGTGTGGGTTTTGTGACCAGTGAGAAGCAGAGCCCTTCAGCCTTGGACCTCCTGGGGGCAATTTCACAAGCTGTGGCAGTGGAGCGCCGGCAGGCTCAGCTCAAACCAGGTGCTTCCAAGGCCCTCAAGGATTTGATCAACAAGTGCGTCACAGAATTCAACAAGCTTACCACTGTGAAGAAACACCGGATTGACACCACCCGCAAGTCTTTGATCTACAATTTGATCCTTGCCCCAATCTAGAAGTAGTAACAACAAATTTGTAGCTACGTGGGGGAATGAGTTCAGCCTATTAATCAAAGATTCTCAGATTTCATGCTTGAGAAACAATATCAGGATGAGGGCTCCTCCAACGCTGGGTGCTATCCTTCATGAGCACTATGACTTGTTCAAGCATGAAGTGTCAGGCCCATCACTATTTTGATTTGTCTTTTGACAGTTTCAACACTGTAGACTGATTATGGCTCATTACACATTAGTATTTTCCCTGTGTTTCCATATTCCCTGTGTTCCATAACCCCTGTCAATGTTTTGCGTATGTATCGCGGCTGTTGCAGGTATGCCCCTGGATCTACTCCAACAAGACTACTGGGTTCCCGGTGTCACCGCGCGGCAAGATTCACCCAAGTTTCATGGCAAAGAAATGTGGCGGGAGATTCTTCACCCTACTGGGGAAACTTGTATGATGTGGGCCCAGCGCATGACGAAGGAACCGATACGACAAATTTCGAGTTTATATAAATTTTAAATTTCTTCTTGCACCATACCTTGAACAAAACACCGTTCAAACCCTGGAGGATTTCGAGCGAAAGGTTCAGAAAGACTCCACCAACAAAGCCAAGGTCTGCCTGGGGTTATGTTTGTTTTTGTTACTTAGCTACTTTCTTTTCAAAATGTACTCTATGCTGACAAAATCGATTTCTGATATGTTCTCAAAGAATTTCACTTTCTTGTGCCACCTCCCGTGTCCCTGAAGAAAGCAGCGCAGCTGGATGATGACCAAGCCACACATCTTTATGACATTTGCTGCTTGTGGATTTGGCTTCGAGAACACATGGTCAAGTCTTTCTCCGGGGACATTGTGACTCAGCATGATTCCTTGTTCATGAAAGGGAATCTTGGCTAATGATTGAACTAGCAGAAAAATGGAATCAAGAGAGACAAAATTACTATATATAATTATGGGTCATCAAATCATAATATTTCAGGATAAAATCAATCACACATCTTGGATTGGAGTTGGCTGGCGCCAGCCGACGCTTTTCCACTGATTGTGATTGTATTCCCACAAATAACGTCGCATTTTCTTATCCGGAGTTGGCCGGCGCCAAACCCAAAAAATCAATCAAATTCTACCCCATAAAATTAGCTAGCATTTGTGATTGGATTCCCAGAAATACAATCGCATTTTAATAGGTCACCAAACTTATGATCATGCTCCCATTTTGAAATCCAATTTTTCCTAGTGATTGATTTTCAATTTAGATAGGTTATTGTGATTGTATTTCCAGAAATCCAATCACAATTCAGAGCTGAAAACCGGAACCCGAGATGTGATTGATTTTGTCATATTTCCCGATTATTTTCAAGGGATGGGCTTGGGAATCCCTATCTGGGTTCTGATCAAGGAGCCTCGACAGCGATCTGGGTGGAATCGTCAAAGCTGCGGAGCCTTTCGAATGGGGCAGGATACCCTTCATCTTGGAGGCAGGTAGGGGCAAACCGTGAAGCAAAGATCAGCGCAAAAATTAACCACGGTTTGTGCTACTGTGGATGGAACAAATCTTGCACCAGCTGGGAGCTATAAAACACCTGGGATTTGTAAATAGTGGGATAACTTTGGGATAACTATAAGCCCCTTCCAAATAATGGTATAAACAGTTTATCCATTTATCGCTTGATGCAGGATTGGTTCCATCCATAATTTATTATATTATATGGAGGAGAAACACTATATATCTAAAAAACATAGCAGCCCACAAGGAATATATGTAATGACAATCCATCGCAATGGTTTGAACAAACAGAACATTTTTGTGGTACTTAGCTGTTTCAGTGGGATGAGATAGAAGCATAGCAGAATATTGCCCACACCGATCTCACCCCTTTTGTTTGCAGGTGCGCGGCTCCACGATGGAGGATTTCGTTGTCCAGGCCCAGGATAGGCAGAAGAACGCCTACACCAGATCAATGACAGCAGCGTTCCAGAACTGGGTTCAGCAGCTCCAGGCTGACCAGGTCTCATTTGAGTCTCAGCGAATCATGTGCCTTTTCTGAATTGAAAATGGTGATGGCAATAATTCCAAAATGATATCTATTCGTTTCATTTCGTTTCAGAATGGGACAAATTTGATCTACAGTAGTTAGTTACTCATGTTCCTTATGTTCCTACCTTGCAACTTCCCCTCCGCACCTCTGTCATCCCCTCCGCACAATTCAGGTCCGAGAAGGAGTCTGCCAAGCGACGTGCAAAATTGGTGAGTCAGCTGGAGGACACCCATGAAACCGAAAAAGTTGTTTTGAAGAATGATGTGTGTTTAAAGCCTACCTAGTTCAATCCCAATGTCATAATCATTGTTTTTGAACGAATATTACAGGTGTTATTTTACAAGTGGGGCCATATCCATTCAACAGGGTCAAATGGTTCAATAAGCCTTTAAATACTGTAAATATTTTTCAAAAACAATGGCATTGCCCGAAAGGACCTCCACAAGAAGGCTTGGGAGATGGTTGGCGAGTATCTAACGGTGAACCTTCGAGTTTTCGGGGGTCTTGCAAAGGAGGCTGAATCAACTGTGCTTCCGTTGGTTACCAGCTGGACGGATGAAGCATTTTCCGACGTACCCGAATGCCGTGCCAGTGATGATCACTGTGTGCTCATGTGGGCAAATTTGCCCTCCTGTGGTGTGCTGTCAGTTCATCGCTATGACTGGTGCATCACATCTATATCGAATGTCCTGGCAATCTATCGGAAGAATGGGATCGCAGTGCTTGTTCACCCCAACCGTGGACAAGCTGCTGAAAGGACACATGTTTTGAAATGTTTTGAAGCTTGACAATATACCCTCAAAAAAACACTGTGCCAAGAATCTATGGCTGCTGTTTTACGGTGATCCTCCATAAAGATATCTTTAAGGTATCCCTGGGGTTCTTACAGCCCTTGCAGGAAAAGCAAATGCAAGGACGAAAGCGATGACGATGCCGCCAAAGAAGAGCCTGATGATGCGATGATGGGCATCAAAAAGGATGAGCCAGATGACGATGAAGACGGTGATGCACCTCCAGAGCTGTCATGCAATCAGGAGGATGCGGACATCAGAGACATGAAGTACAAGCTGGAGAAGCTTTGCTCCATATTTCATAGTTTTGATTTCCCTGTTCCCTATTAAAAAGGATCCCAATTATCTTGTGGTTACCTTTCTCAAACATTCAATGGGGACATGCTATGATTTTCCCCAAAAGACAAGATTGCAAAGGAAAGATTTGTCGCTGCGAGAGCGCAATCTGATTGTGCGCAACATCACATGGGTGTTTGACAAAGTGTCCAGGCTAGATTGAATCTATACCATTTGCTTTTTCCACCAAAAGAATCTTAAGGAACAATTGTTGGGTCTGATTGTTTTCCGTCCTTCCTGCAGACCCTGTCCCTCAGGAGACGGTGTACGGACGCCGTGAAGGTTGCATCACGGGCCTTGCAGTTTTTCACCGTGACCGAGCAAACATCTTTCGGACCTCGGCAGGGATCAAGTCCGCTGTGATCCATGATGTCAAGATGCTCCCCCGGCATGCCATGTGGAAACCAACAGCTCTTTGGCTTAAGAATCTCAATGCCCCCAGTGGTGGTCTTCCAAACATGTTTGTGGTTTACCAGCCCCTTTTTTGGGTTCTTGAATGTTGAATGGATTACACCTGTGACCTGTGCCTTCAGGCTTCACCGACCAAGCAGAACCTGCCACATCTTGGGAGGGCAATTACTGACCAGCAGGAGATGAAACAAGCTCCTGATCCCTATTGGCATTTTTTTGTACACCAATTTTTCCCAAAACATGGGTTGTCAAAAAGAATCAAAAATGTCAAAACTTAATCTTGACAAAACAAGGTTGCTGGTGGAACAGACTTCGTGCGGGCAACCCTGAGGGCACTTGTACCCCCTTCGGTCCAAACCTGCATGATCTTGGATCTTGTGAGCTACGATGGGTGGGCAGCACTGGCAGCCCTCGAGGACTTATGGGCTGGATGGTTACAAATCATTCAGGTCAGAAAACAAAAACCCATAGATTGATTTTGATTGTAATGTATACCAATTACACAATGTTCTCTAAGTTACGGAGTTACATAGTGCAAAGGGAGCCTATGGTGTCGAGGGTATTTGGTGGTTAAATAATTTAATAATATATTATTATATAGTGTATGAAATGGCTACGATCATAGAGCCCCAAATTATTTAATAGAATAATTTGCAGAGATTGTTATACTAATTTGCCACATCCCAACCTCAAACAAGTGAACCCTGTCTGAGGAAGTGGCGGCTGCCAAACGGGTCATGTGCGGATCCATCGTCTTGAACGGCGATCCTGGTGGATTGCAGCAGCGAGTTGCCACTGCGCTCTATGAGTCGTGTCGGGAAGGGAATGCCGTGCTTCCGAATTTCCCCAACTTTGAGCCTGTGGTCAAGGCACTCCGTGAGAATGCGAGCTCTGCCCCACAACAGTCATACAAGGTTTGTGTGGCCAAGTGTGACCGGCTGGTGATTTTGCAGTCACTGGCTAGACGCTGGACAGAGTATGAGGGGTCCAAGGAAGAGGCCACTGCACTGATTGTGGAGCACAACAAGAACTTCAACGTGGATGGAGATTATCTCGAAGATGATGAAAGGACAGAAATATCCCAAAGTGTTTTTGGGTTCTTTTGGGGATTTTACACGCTGACCTATTGAAATTCTGGATTTGATACCCCCTTTTTTGATAAAGCCCATCCATCCTGCTCACCCAGCTCTCTCCTTCAAATCATCGGACATCGCTTTTTCCTTCCCATAGGCCTGCAGAGCCGGCTGACGGAGAGCGGCCCGCAAAGAAGATCAAACTGGCTGATTTGCAGAGCTGCACTGAGGCAGACATCTCCAGTTTAGCAAAACCGTATCTTGGCTACTTATTATGAATCCAAAAAAAGTTGGGACTTGCATCATCGAACTAGGTTCCCAATATCTCCTTTCATAACATTTCAGTTCCCTCCCTCTTTTACTTCCCTGCCTGGTCTTTCACATCTTTCATAATCTCTTTCTGTTCCTGAGGCGGAAGTTGACCATCAACGGGGCTGCAGAATTGATCTCAGATGAAACGGGAGAGAAGCTCTTTTTGGTGAGCCGGTCTCGCAATCAGTTTCTGGCATTCCGTGAGATGTTTCTTGACCGTAATTGGGGACTCCTTGATGTCATCTTCCAGGGAGGAAGGATTACGTCCATCCATATCTGATGCAATCCTTTAATCATTGATTGTAGGCTCAACTCAAAATATGTTGTTTACAATGATGTGGAACAGCTTGATGCCAAACACACTTGGCCATCGAATGATTTTTCCCATATTTATTTTATATTTCACCACCACTGGAAACGAACTTGATACTGAGGTTTAGCTTCGGAAGCGGTGAGTGGAGGAATGGTGCCGACACTTGGATCAATCCGGCCTTGCCAGTCTAGTTGACCAGCTTTCCCTTGAAGATCTTAATGTTCGGGACTCCTAACCAAGGAAGCTTTGGAAATTTCAAGTGATGCAGAAGGGCGGTGGTTTGCCTTCAACATCGACTTTAAAAGTCTTGTTCTGATGGAAAAGAAGGGGGTGCCCAACCACTTGCAAAGTTTGCCATGCATCGACAACCCCACGGACTTGGGAACGGTGATCAGGGAGTTGGAAGATGCTGGAGAGGTTGGGGCCCATATGATATGATATTTCTTTATTACTTATATGCCTTATCAACAAAGAATCAGGCAGTACACCTATCGGACCAAATCCCGCTAGATTAGAAATGTTTATCCATAAATAATCTGGGGAGGTAAGGGGCCCATAGTTTTTATATGATAGTTCATGGGTTTTGGGGTTCCCTGCAAGGTGAAGCTTGGCATCAGCCACCACTCGCTGAATGCAGCCCGTGATCAAATCACAATGGAGAAAGCACTGGTGTTTGTTGTGGAACCCCCCAAAAATGATGATGGTGAGGATGGCGAAAAGAAAAAGAAGAAGAAGAAGAACAAATCCACAGTCACCATGAACAGTTTTGGGAATGGGCTGTCCATCAACAAGTTTAAGGGCATCAGCACGTTCGTTGTTGGGTTCCGCTGCAGGCTGGATGGTTTGTCAAAACACCTCAGCATAGTTCCATAGAAAAGTATAATAATACTTACAGACAGAAGCATCCTTAATGCACAACAGCGCCAGCAAAGCTGTCACCAGCAGCAACAACAACATTGAAAGCCAAACCTTTCAGCAGCAGCAGTAGCAACAGTAGCAGCAGCAGCAGCAGCAGCAGCAGCAGCAGCAGCAGCAGGGGCAACAGCAGCAACAACTGCAAGAACAACCAAGAACAAGCAAGAACAAGCAAGAAGAATACCACACAACAACAGCAACAAAAAGCAACAAGAGCAACATGAGCAACAACAACAACATGAACAACCAAATACACAATCGATGGTAAACAGCACCACGCAACAGCAAACAACAACAAACAAATAAACAACAAACAACAAAGAAACAACACAAAGCAACATGCCAACAAGCAACAACAACAAACAACAATGAACAAAACCTTATCAATCAATCCTAGAGCAGCAGCATCACAATTTACATATTGCAATCACCATGTTCATCATCGTCATCATCATCAGCAATATCAGTATCATGCCCATCGTTGTCATCGTTTTCATTCTCATCATGTCTGAGAAAATCACCCTACTTCTTCTCCCCTTCCTCCTCTTCATGAATCATCATCATCATCATCACCACCATCATCTTCATCTTCATGACCAATTTCATGCCCAGCATCATGATGATGATGATCATTATAATAATCATCATCATCACCATCATCATGGCCATCTTCATCATTGTCATCATGTTCATCATTACCACCACCATCATCATCCACATAATCTCCATCATGATCATAGCTGTTCTCATAATCAAAACTGTAAAAATCGTCATCACCATCATCATGGTCATTGCCATCATCATGATCATCATCACTGCCGTGTTTCATAAATGTGTTTAACTTGTACACTGGTTGTCATCAGCATGGGTTATGTACTGTCAGTAATCCAGACTTTCCCAGCCCCAGTTGTTTCATCCACTAATTTAATGCCCATTTCGTTCTCAATACCATTGGTTTTTTCCCCATCAAACTCAATACCCATGTGTACCTTGAGGGTGCAGTTCCACTCTCATTTATTGAGAAAAAATGTTTGATCCAATTTATTTGTTTGTAGTATGGCCATGAATAATAAAGTCTGAATTGTAACCCCCAAGTATGTGCCCGCAGGTTGGAATCCACAGGTGATGGCGGCACCAAAACTTTGGTGCCAATCCGCCCGATTGCATGCACCAGTGGTGTTGTTGATGTTGGCGAAGCAATTATCAGATTGATGTGATCGTGCAACTGCTCAGCAGGGTGCAATTGATTTTGAAAAATCACTTCTTGGGGTGCGGTGTGATGGTTCTAAAACCATATGGAACCCACTCATGCCTTTCCAGTTGGCTGATGTGCAGTCAGAACTCCACACAAGGGCTGTGTTGAAACTCATTTTCATACAACAACAATTTCCATATTTTCCAACACTATATCCAATAATTTCAATTACCCAACATGTTTACATCTTTCATCGTGCTGGCTGTGGAGGTGACATGACTCTCTTTCGTGACTTGTGCTGAAATGCACAATACCAGGGAACAAACCTTGGGAGATCTTGGATGACGGGTGTGGCTTAAAAGACCCAAGTTTCAAATGTTCAAAGGTCCTTCCATCATGTCATGATGGTCAGATGGAAGATATTGATTCAAACTGTGTTTTTCAGGTTCTTAAGGCTCAAGTGAAAAAATCACAGGGATTTCATGGCGCCCAAACCAAACAGGGTTTCAAGGAAAGCTGCTACCATGTCGGATGAAGACAGTGTGGAATGCGTTCAAGACCTGACTTTTCGTCCCCCCGTACTTTGGTTGCAGAAAAATGTGGTCTGATTCCCATTTTCCTTAAATAGTCTGATCATGAGGTTTCCTTTCAAAGCTTGATCCTAGGCATTCCAACTTGGCGACATGCTGCGCCCCCGCCAGTCCTCTGCACCGTCAGTGTCCCAGTCAGCGTCCCAATCTTCGAGACCTGCAGCAGTGGATCACACCAGGGCAAGTGCTGCATCTGCTGCGTCATCCCGCCACTTGGCTGCATTAAGTGTGTGGTGTGAGTGAGGGTTCCAAATATGATATGATATCATTAAAATATTAATTATGCCTAATAAGTACTTCGCAAGTACTACTTCCCACATTTCCCGATTAATATGAATCTTGGATGAAACTCTATATATAGCCGGAATCACAAATGGCATGAAAAGGGTTTCAAAAAAATATACAAACCCCCACATAGACCATCATAGACCCATATTTACTTCAGGTCAGCCTGCCGCATCAGTGGCGACTACTTTGCCACCGCGATATGGATCGTCGGCCGAGGAATCGTCACCAAAACCAAGTGAAACTGATGAAAAACCGAAGAAGAATGAGAAGAAACGTAAAACCACCAGAAAAAAGGGTACTGATGATGACCATGTCCCCCTGGGTCCAGGCACCAGGGATGATGATGACGATGAGGGAAGTGATGACTTAGTTGGGTTGGACAATCTGTTACAGTTGGGTGAGGATGGGGGCCCCAAAAAAAAACCTGCTTCGAAGTCCAGCACTGGTGGTTCCAAGAAGCGCCCATCTACGTCCAAGCGAAGCAAGAAGAAGGACCATTTTTGGATGTCAAGGGTTACATAATGTAAAAAATGTAAAAGTGTTACATAATGTTACATATAGATGATTGATTTTATGGGTATTGCGGGCCACTGGCTGTTACCCCTCGCAGGACATTGTACCTTTTGAGCTTGAAGTTGAAGGGGGTGGCGACACGGAAGTCATGATTGATCAGCCCTGTGTTGAAGGGGGTGGCGACAAGGAAGTCAAGATTGATCCCCCCTGCAATGCCGAAGAGTTTCTTGATACCACTAAAAACATAATACCGGAGCTACTTTTTATGGTTCCATGTTTCCCCAAAACAAATCCCAGCTGCTGAGCCTGCTCTGAGGTTGGCATTTGATGGTTCCGCTCCCTGGACACAGCTGCAGTGGGACTTTCTGGGGAATCTGCAACTAGGCTTAAGGGTACTGAAGGACACATCGTTTGGAGAAACAGTTGTCCTATTTCAGGCACATTGGGGTTTCTTTCATCTTCATTTAGCAAAATCTCAGGCCAGACTATACCAAGAGTGACCAGTACATCGCTGATGAATATCCCACGCAGGATTATGTCTTCCCAGATGAGGATCTGGAGGGTGGCCCAGAATATCCTGTCAAGCTCGTGGGGGGGGAAGATGGTGATTCGGATGTTTTGGTGATGCCTTCGCCTGAAGTATCTGCCCGTGAATATTTTTACCATTATCCGAACAACCAGCTCGGTTTGGAAAATTCGACATCGCCCAAGGCCACTGAACTTGTCCCTTGAACCAACACTTTTATGGGGCAGTGGCCACTTATATGATTGATCTACTAGGTGATTCTTATTATATCATCATGCGGCCACCTCAGCATCATTGGTTTCCCCATAACAACATCATTGGTTTCCCCATAACAACAAATAGATTTTGGGAAAGTAATTGATACCCATCTTAGAACCTTCCAAATTCCATGTGGCATTGATTTAACCCACATTGATATTGCCCTTCAAAAAAATCCAAGGTGCCAATAATTTGGGTTCATTTTGGCAATACCCAGCCCAGAAATGTATTTGGTGATCAGTTCAAAACTTTTTAAAGAACCCTCATCCATGTTTGGGAAAAGGGACTTGTACCATTCAGGGGAATGTAAGATGGAAGATATTTCAAGGCCTGTTTCATACACATAATATGGTATCAAATAAAGAATATTGTGTTAAGATATTTGGATAAATATCTTACCGCGCCAAGGATACGGAGGAGATCCCACGACTTCGCCGACTTGACGCAAACGAAGATCTGGGCCTCGTTGAGCCCAAAGCTCTTTTCCAGCAGGAGCCATTGCAACACCTCAGCCAGAGAAATGTGTTCAAGTTGCCAAGTTTTTAACCTTGCCACAACATCTCTTCCCAGGATGGTGAAGATGATGGTTTTCCGGGTGTTGGTGAGCCTACTTCGCCCAAGGACCCAGGTTCCATTTTTTTAAGCTGATGCAACACCTGGCAGCCTATTGCTGAAGTCAACTATGATAAACTACAGTTGTTCTCTAGATTCCGCAGGATGATGGTGCTGCTGCTATGGATCTGACGTGTGAGACTCCTTCTCCTATGTTGGATGAGGTTGAGGAGTTTCTTCCTGAGCCTGTGGAGTCACCTCTTCCTGAGCCTGTGGAGTCACCGAGCCCCAATGCCGAAGATCCCAATCAGTCCCCACAAGTGCGGCAACAGCCAAAGCGCATGCGCAAACCGGCTTCCGCCAAAGCAAAAGCCAAAGCAAAAAGCAGCGCAAAAGCCAAAACCGCACCCAAGAGTCGTGCCAAAACACCGGCAAAGACACGTGCAAAGTGTGGCAGTAGCAAAGCCAAGGCAAAGAGCAAGGCGTGCGCGAAAGCCAACGCATCACCGAAAGCAACACCGAAAGCAACACCGAAAGCAACACCGAAAGCGACTGTGCGCAAGACATGTGCAAAAGCCAAGGCAGCCCCTAAGTTTAGGTGCGCTGGAGATTGGGTGAAGCGCAAGCTGCATTGCGCAACTGTTTTGCAAACAGCTGGAGAACGTTGTGCTTTTTGCGTGCACTCTGTACACATATCAGGGTGACTTGTTTATCTATCTGCATTCTAAGGTATACTGTGCTGCGTGGCGTGTGGCAAAGGATGCGGGCTTATCATCGCCTGAATGTGCAGCTGCTGGTGCTGCAGCGCGTCGTCAGTAGCTTGTCTCTTTAACAAGTTCACACAGTCTTAGCGTAGTGCAATGCTCCAACATATAGAGAGGTGCAATGTTCCAACTTACAGAGTAGTGTGCCTAACTTGTCGCCTACATCAGGTGGGTCATGCAAGAAGGCCCACGAGACCATCCGCTGGTGAGAAAGTTTTTGGTCTCCTATGGTGAGATCTAATCCAAATCCACATCTACAGGATGTGCGCTGGAGAAGAATAGCTTGGAAAACTTAACGCATTTACTTTACTTCAACATCATGATAAATGCAACTCCTTTAATTTGTTTGGGGAAATGTTTGTCTGGTTTGCTTCACTCACAAGCTGAGATTCCGGCAGGGTATCGAAGCAACTGCGCAGTTGCAACATCTTGAGGGGAAAAAATGCTGTGATGGGCTGTGAGCGGGACATGCACCAAACCAATCAACGACCTTACAAGCTCAAAAGGCCAGTTCCCAAATGGAAAGGAGCCAGTTACAAGTGGATGAGATTATATATTATATACACACTTACATTTGGGCTATCAACCTATCAACCATGTACAAACTGGGATACACATCCAAGCATGTGGCTGCCGAAGTTCTTTGCAAGGTCGCGGGACTCCATAAAGGCCTCTAGCAGCTGGAGAGCTCTGTCTACCAAAAACATGGTGCCGGGCATCGGGCTCCCCGCTGTTGACATGTTGAAAAGAGGTTTTTTAGGGGGAATTGAAAAGGACCAAAAACAAAATTTTAGTTTCACTACCAACATCATCATCAACCTCAACAACAACCTCAACATCAACATCATCATCATCATCATCGTCATCACCACCACCACCATCATCATCATCATCATCATCATCAAGTGTGGAAGTGCAAGAGAACGTACCATAGCGTAGCATGACAATGAACGTTATTAACCCCACGATCCCCACCCCAATCCAGTTGTAGGATACAAAATGTCACAACTGTCGCGAGCCTGTCAGATGCCGGGCACCAAAAATATCAAATATGATCTAATGCTTGGATGGATAACCACCCAAAAATGGACGGTTTGTTTTGTTGTGCAAACACCTGTGGGAATCAAAGCAACACATCTTAGGTTTTACCAACACATATATGTATTATAATATATATATATAATAAATATAATATATATATTACATATATATATATATATATCCAACAACAAACCCGGCAAAGGGCAACAAAAACTGAATGAGGATGTCAAACTTCATGAAGTTTCCAGGTAGATGATTTCAGGCCTCACAATCAAACATCAAAGCACTGTTAAGCTGTTGCCTCATGTTTTAAAGAGTCGCGGCCCAGTCACATAGTGTAAGAAGAGTAGACAGCCTCAGGGTCGGCATAGGGAGCATAGCCGCGTACTTGGACCCCCGACTGGTGGCTTACTGAAATTGGGAGACCCCAAAAGCATCCAAATTATAAAGCCATATGCATATTGGTTTGTTCTGTACATTTATATTATTATTATTACTATTTATCATTATCATTATTGTTATTATTATATAATTATTATTGTTATGTTCATAATATGTAATATATATATATATATATGTATCCCATCCAAGCCAAAAAGCACTGGAAATCCGGCTGTATGGCCATCTCCATATGCCAGTTTTGCCGAAGCAAAAACTAAGTGCAGGTTAGATATGGTGAAGTTTCTATTTTTGGTGGGTCAAACTCCCCACTGACTGCTCCTAGAAAACTCGGTAGATAAAGAGGTATATAAATTGGATTAAACTATCGAATTTCCCCCCTCCCCCCATTGCGGCTATCATTGTAATGATTGGAGCAACCCAGCAACCTTTCATTTTCAGAAACCCCCAAATATATACATCATGTTGTTACTTAAATATCCCATGAACTATCCCCATTACGGTTATAACAGTTATAAATCTGCATTTTCAAAGGTGAAATTTCCATTTTCAAACCTATATCATCATATTATTGATTATAATTGTAAATTATATATATATATATAATATATATACATATATATATATATAATAATTATATATATAATATATAATATATATATATATATATGTATATATAAATTGTATATATTCTCATTTTTTATCCCCAGATCTGCTGGTCAAGTCCCCCTGTTTCTGGGTGCCCAGATATCCCCAGATTCGTTGCGACCCAAGGCACCCATGGACGGAAGCACGCACTCGGAGACCCTCAGAAGGCCACTTTGCAGCTGGGAACGCAAGTCCTGGGGCCCACAGATGTGGATGGATGAGGTTTCTTGATATGTTTAAATTAGATTCATGGATGTTTAATGGATGTAAATTTGGATGGATGGATGGATGTATGGATGTGGATCGATTAATGGATGTCTAGTCTTATTGGATGTTTAATGGATGCCTTCAAAATGAATGCTTATGGATGTCTAATGGATGTAAATTTGATGTTTCATGTATGTTTAATGTCTTGGAGATGATTCTGGTGTCTAGTTTTATAGATGTCTAGTGGACCTAATGGATGATTATTAATGTATTGTTTTTCTTCTTTAATGGATTGTTATGGATGTTTAGTGTTTTGTGTGGAATTCTAATTGATGATGTTTATGGATTTTAGTTTTGTCATGGATGTGTTTATGGAACTTCAAAGGTTGTTTTTGGATCCTGCCTGCATTCTGAATCAATTTATTGTTGATCATGTTTAACTCAAGTTGAGAAGGGTTTGTCCATGGATGTGTATCATGGATATGTTTTTTTTTTTTTTAAATGTGTCTTTTGTTTCCTGAATTTTCAATGAATGTTGATACACTCTGACGGGGAACGTATCTGCTTATTGGTTCCACCCAGGCGATGGATCATGAGTCGTATGAGTACGACGCCTTTTTCTCGGTCCATGATGGATAGCCCCTTCATGAATGGTTCACCACTGGCTTGTACGAAGACCTTCATCGATGTCATATGGCAGTGTGTCAAAACCTTGTACCCCTGGTGAACATCAAAATAGCTGGTAAATGGATGTTCATTCCCCTAAAAATGGTATTAATAGGTATTGATCCATACCCATATAATTAAATAACCCATTATTGATTAATGGGACAAGTGGCATATTAATTGGATATTAGACAATCGGTTATGCAGCCACTATGCCATTATAATAACCAATTCATGACCTGCGAAAAACAAGCTTGGCTTCTATTAGTCTTATCCAGAAAAACTCATCAAAAAGAATGGTTCTACCGCAGATGAATGTAAACAAGTGGTATACCAACCTGGTAATAGTAACTACTCTCGGATGATCAAACCTCTCTAGCTGGAAAATCTGCCATTTAGTTCAATGATTTTCCCATGCATATAGATGCCCATTTACTTACTGGATTTCCGGCAGCCGGCCATATTTGAGGCCGCAGAATAGCCATGCTATCGGTACCAATGACACAAGGTGGTGCCCCCGGAGTTATAAGTGATCTATAACTAGTTCGATATATATATATATATACATATATATATATGTATTATCGGAGTTATCTTCACCATCAACTTAGCGATTTCCAACTGGGGCACCACCTTAATCTCGGAGGTTTCCTAGAATATGTATACCCCAAAGCATGGGTTTTCCAATTGATAATATCATGTACAATAGCCAATAACTTGGAAGATACCCTCTGGTACTTTAACATAGCTATTGAAAATGGCCCAGTCGAAATAGTGGATTTACCCATTGATAGCGTGGTAGATCTTTCCATAGTTTTTTGTAAACGTTTACCAGGCCGGGTAACGGCTGGGGATGATAGGAAACCATAGGAAACCTCCATGTTTGTTGGTTACCCTCTGGTAAACTAACAGTTTGCTATTGAAAATGGCCATTTATGGTGAATTTTCCCATGAAAAATGGTGATTTTCCATAGCTATGTTAAATTACCAGAGGGTAATCCCTCAGCCAAGCTGCAGCTTCCTTGCTTTCCATGTCCTTTTGCCTCGGATGAAGCCGTTGGCATCGCAACTTTCGGGAGAACTCAAGGGGAAATCTGCGGTAACCACGGGTTCTGCATGGTTTTCTTGATGATGTATATATATATATATATTATATGGATAACTTAAGGGATAACTTAATAAATTAAAAATATAGATACAGCAAATAGATAAATAGTGGTGTCTGCATGTTTTTCCTTAAGCGAGTACAGTAAGTTGAACAATGCCGGGTTGATCTGCAAAAAGATTCAATCAACAAACATGCGCGACAATCTCAGGGGTTAATCAACAAAAAATCGGAGGTTGACAGTCGCGCATTAGCCATTAATGACGGTTCAAAAAAAAGGATACGTTCTATGGGAATAATTCTGGGCCTGGGAAACACCACACATTAAAATCAAGTTCGATGAGTATATAGGTCAAAATTCATGTTCATCAACAGCGTGCGGAGTTCATCAATCATAACATCATCCATGCGTTTTTTTCTTTTCTTTTTTTTTACATTGCTTGTGTCGTGTTCATTTTTTTTGAACATGGCTTTGACTTAAAATTTGGGTAGCTCCAGACATTCCATCGTATTTCTCATCTTTGCCACATGAACATTGCTAAGTTGGGTACTGTGGATGGTTGTAAGATCCTGCACCACCTTGGATGGTTAAAACAGTTGACACCCTATAAATAATTGGATAAACCATCTATCAACTGGTGCAGGATTTTGCAACCATCCACAGTATCATGGATTGGTGAACAAAAAAACATGATACCATAATATTAGATGTCAGTGGGTAAATATGATCCTATATTATGTATAACTATATGATGTATGTATATATATATATATACATGATATACAACCATATCATGGGTATCAGATATACTGATACCAAATGATATGATATAACATGATAATAATCAATATAAGCATTTTGTTGGACTTAATGATAAAATGGAACTTTAATGCATATATATATATATAGCATACATGAAATACAACCACACATATATATATATGATAGGTGTGATGATACCCTATGATCCAGCCGTATGTTTTGAAACAAAGCCATGGCGCTGCAAATTCTTCCGCAAGTCTCGCTGGATCCAGACTGCCTGTGGTGCCCAACCGCAGGACTTTTGGGTCTATCATGAGATATCTATTTATATACAATTCATAAATACGTCTACAAACTAAATGTAACTATATAAATAATTATATATAATATACCATATCACTATCCTGCATATTTATATATATATAGATAGATAGATAGATAGATAGCTTGTAACTGGTGGGGGAGATTACCTTGTACGTTCTGGTCCATTGATCTTCACCATTGTTGGCTCCCACTGTATCACAAAGGCGAATCTTTCCAAACAAACTCCAAGCCATTCGTTTTAACAAAGAAATACTCGACAAAAAAACATGTCCAGGATCCAACAGGTCGAAAGCCATGGGACATCTGGATCCTTCAAACTCCCCGAAGCCGTGCCAAGAGGCATCTGCATCAGCCACGCAGAGTGCCAGAATCTCCACCGCCATGACCTGCGGCGATTAACGTTCCCTTCCCCAAGATACCACCAGTTACCACCATTGATGAGGCTGGCCAATGAGGCTCTTTGCATGTGCTCGTCTTTGTTAGTAATCCAGAGCATAATCTTCCATTTCTTCAACAAAACCATTTAAACCCATAGGTATTTACTCCGAACATCTTCAAAAAGTCAACATCAGAAAATTCTTGCGTTGGCAATTCAACATCTTAAGGTCTCATCAAAATTCCTTGCTAATTCAAACACATATCACATATAAGATGATATATAAGATTAGATAAGATTATACAATATTATGTAAGATTATATTAAGATTATATTCGATTAATATTGTATGATATACATATATTTAATATTAGATGATATATCATATATTTATATAATATATATTTCCTCATTTGGGTTTGTCTGAAAATAGTGTACCCCTACACCCAATGGTTTTGCTGATCATTATCCCTACTAAATGGCTATTTCATTGGGGGTATACCCCATTTTCAGACATACCCACATGGTGATTCTTGAAAATCAAAACAGCTGGTAAATGGATGTTCATCCCACTAAAAATGGTATTAATAGGTATTGATCCATACCCATATTTCCTCATTTTCTTTGCCCAAAAGATCCACAAAAACCCCCTTTCCAGGTCCCCCGCCGGCAGCAGAGAACTGAAGCCAATGAGCCCGAAGCCCGCCAGGTCGTCCAGCTGCGCCTCCTGAAACTCCGAAACGAGGCTTGCAATGGTATACCCGGCCTGGTCAACATAGAAAAAGCTATTGAAAATGGCCCATTTATAGTGGATTGACCCATTGAAAATGGTGATTTTCCATAGTTTTTACCCACATAGCTATTGAACATGGCCCATTTATAGTTGATTTACCTATTAAACATTGATAACATGGTGGATCTTTCCATAGTTATGTAAACGTTTACCAGAGGGTATATATAACAAATAATCGAAGTGAGATGTTTTTTTCATGAGATAGTTAAATTTATATGTATACTGTAGATGTGCAGGAACCCGGAAATCAAGAGAAAACATGTAAGAAAGACCTGGTTACCCTCTGGTAAACTAACATAACTATGGAAAATCACCATTTTTAATAGGTAAACCATCTATAAATGGCCATTTTCAATAGCTTTTTGTATGTTTACCAGGCCGGGTAATGTATGTCAATGAAGTAAACCCAGCCAACTTCAGGAAGGAATCCCTTGGATCATGCGGCCACTGATTCCCCGAATCCAAGAAACCATCATTCCATTGTGAAGTCACTACGTGAGGTCACTATAATTCATTCAAATCCAATATATATATATAGATATATCTATTCATTATATATATATCCTTATCTATATCTCTCTCTCTATATATAATATATATATATATAGATATATCTATTCATTATATATATATATATCCTTATCTATATCTCTCTCTCTATATAATATATATATATATATGAGTATATATATATATATACTTATAATTATATATTTATAATATAGACAGTTGGAAAGATGGGACAAACTTATCAACCATAACCCATCCAGCGCAGCCTCCTGGTCACTCGGCCGGCGTCTGGGTGTGGCCATGCCAATGCCCAGGCTCAAGAGGATGGGCGACGTCAGGGGGCCTGACGTCGCGGCGGCAATGGGAGTCCCATATTGGAACAAACCATAGTGAACAAACCATGGTTACCCTCTGGTAATTTAACATAGCTATTGAAAATGGCCATTTATAGTGGATTTACCCATTAAAAATGGTGATTTTCCATAGTTACGTTAGTTTACCAGAGGGTACTTCATATATGGAGTTGATATAAGTTGATATAACGACCATAGTGAAACCATAGTAAAACCATAGTGAACCCATAGTGATACTGTGGATGGTTGTAAAATCCTGCACCACCTTGGATGGTTGAAACAGTTGAAACCCTACAAATAATGGGATAAACCATCTATCGACTGGTGCAGGATTTCGAAACCATCCACAGTATCATGGATTGGTGAACAAAGCACAATGATACCATAATCTTATGATAGTGTGTAAATATGATCATGTATGATGTATAATTGTATGATGTATGTATATATATATATACATGATATACAACCATATATATAGATATATAATGTGTATCAAATATACTGATACCAAATGATATGATATGACAGATACTGTAATACTAAATAAGCATTTTGTTGGGCTTAATGATATAATGGGACATAATGATATGTGATGATACCCTATGATCCAGCCGTAGCTTCTGAAAGCAAGTATGAATGGGCGTTGGTTTAGGGGGTTAGCCGTATCATCTAAGGCAGTGTTTGGATCCAAAGGGATACAAATTAATGATTTAATGATTTGGTATACAATGATATAATGAAATATGCTGTAATGATGTAACAGGATATATATATATGTATAACTATATATATGTAATGATCAATAACCATTCTATTGAAGCGGTGGAGCGGTTGGGAGCTATGTGTGCAGTATCCATATTCCCTAGGTTTTTTTTTTTACGCCATTCCCAACGGCATTTTAGTTGGAGTTACAAAATGACACAATGGGAAAATGTACAAAATAAATACAAGAATAATTCTAATATGTGAGAACATATCTATAAGATATGGTTTGGCAATTGATAGTCCGATGGTGAACCCCAGCAAAAATTCATGTTTTTCCAAACTTTCTTCCGAAATCACATGCTACACAGTAGCTACACAGTAGACTCAGCTGTGCACCAATAAATAAATCCAAGTCAAAATCCGGATATGACAACCTGATTCGTTTACCACATGGGTTTGCCTGAAAATAACGAGGGTGAAGAATAGTTTTAGGATTTTTGTTTTGATGAGGTTTGGGATTTGTTTATTTCTTTCCTGGTACCATTTACCTAGCAGTCGCAACAGTTTGGAACTAGAGCCTGTCATTTTGCATCGTATTTGCTACATGTTGGCATGATCACCTTCCATTTGCATGGTGTTTGTTACATTTTGGAATGTTCACCTCTCATTTTGAAAGGTATATTTGCTACATGCTGGCACTTCAAACGTTCATGTGGGTTTCTTCAGGGTGTCATTTGGGGTATCTCTAGGGTTGCTTTAGGGTTTCAATCAGGGTTTCTTTAGGGTTTCACTTAGGGTTTTAGGGTTTCTTTACGGTTTCATTTAGGGTGTCTTTAGGGTTCCATTTAGGGTTTCTTTAGGCTTTCATTTAGAATTTCATTCAGGGTCTCTTTAGGGTTTCATGCAGAGAGTTTCTTTAGGGTTTCATGCAGAGGGTTTCTTTACGGTTTCACTTAGTTTCATTTAGGGTTTCTTTACGGCTTCATTTAGGGTTTCTTTAGGGTTCCATTAGGGTTTCTTTAGGCTTTCATTTAGGATTTCCTTTAAGGTTTCTTTAGGCTTTCATTTAGGGTTTCCTTTAGGGTTTCTTTAGGGTTTTCATTAAGGGTTTCATTCAGGGTTTCATTTACGATTTCATTAAGGGTTTTTCTAGGGTTTCATTTAGGATACAAACAGAAGAGAATAAGGCAAACGAAAAAGAAAAGCTGGGAGACAGTGAAGAAAGGAATCAAAGAAGCAGAGGAGCAGGAAAAAGTAGAGCAGGAAGAACGCATGACTGCAGAAAAAGTAGAAGTAGAAAGGCATAGAAGCAGAAAAGCAGAAAAGCACTGAAGCAGGAACAGCAAAAAGCGGAAAAGCAGAGAACCGGAAAATTTCAGCAAGAAAAGCAGAACAGCTTTTCAAATCAGGAACATCAAAGACACAGGGAATCCATATGGCAGTGTGTCAAAACCAATAGTACCCCTGTAGTTCACATCAAAATAGCTGGTTTATGGATGTTCATCCCCCTAAAAATGGTATTAATAGGTATTGATCCATACCCATATATATATATATATGTACAAGGTAGTGCCCCATAAATAGTTAGCTAAGTTGGTTTATAACTCCCATAACTATGGTTTATGGTACCTATAACTATAGTTAATGGGGTTTATAAACCATCTTATAACTGGGGGGCCCCAAAGAAACATCTTCAAATCAACAGCCCTCACGGTCCCCGCACCGATGGTGGCATGGCCAGAGTCCCAGGCGAAGCCCAGCACGGAAGACATGGAGCTTCCGCCGTGGGCCTGAAGGACGGTGCCTCTTTTTGGACCCGGGGAGCCCCAAAAATCGCTAGAGTTGGTAACTTTCATATATAAGTATGTAAGTATGACCACATTATATTGGTCATGAGTACTATGACCATATTACTTTAGTATATATATATGTATATATATATGTATATCTATACAATTATATATATATAACTGCATATCTGTATATATATATATATATATGTCACCACTGTCCAAATATGCCCAGCACTGTCCAAATATATGGATATGGTTGTGTCTAAAAAACAAACTAGTACGCCAATCGAAAACAAACGGGATCCAGCATGTTCATCGACGCCAAGCAACGCAGGCAACGCTCCTGAAGAGGGAAAGAAAAGGGCAACACGGGGAAATTGATGGGAAAAAACATGAGACAAATAAGCGGTATATTGATGTTTGACTTGATGTATTTTGCAATAATTTGGAGTCATACAAGGTGGGGCCCCCGTTTACGAAATCGCTAAGTAGGTTCTCATAACTCCGATTTCACTATGGTTTTTGGTAGATATATCTATACTAATGTCAACACCGGATTAATAAACCACCCCCCCTATAGGTCTAGGTAGACCTTGTGATGCACCCCTGAATAATAAGCACCTTCTAAACCATAAAACTTTGGATATGGCTTACGTCAATTAGATCTTCATAGAATTCCATTGGATTTGATAAGATTTGATTGTGAAAAACCCATGGATCAGAAAGGGGGTTGATTAATAAGGGGCAAACCCTGGTTATTATTAATGGGGGACATGGGCTCATTTGGGAGCTATCCAAACTGATGATTTGTATAAAGAATTTAATTAGAAACCGATCATTTGGGGAATAGTTGATTTTTGAAATTTTCAAGGATCAACTTAAACCTTAAGTATAACAATGATGAGTTCTGAGATTGATGAGATAAAAAGAATTGGAAATAAAAAAATGTTGGATAAAAAAATGAAATTTCAGCACTGGTGGTTTATTAATCGGGGGTATGCCAAAGTAATTATTAATCTGGGGGGACTGCCTGTTTTTAAATTACAGTTTTTTTGTTTGAGGATGAGTTTGATTAATAACGGGATGTTGATTAATCCTGACTTGACATTATACTATTCTATACTTACTATGGTTTATAAACCAACTGAAATAACTTCACAGTTACTGGGCCTAAAGAACAGTAAACCTTCACATCACATCAGGCCAGTTCGAGAGTGTAACTCCCATCATCCACAACAGGATTCCCAGTGAGGGCCGAGATGCAACAGGAGGGTCAACAGGAGGGCAATCACCAGCCATCTCTTAATGCTTTGCCTCCAAATGAGCCGTATGCCTTATTCACCGCCAAGAGCTGCTAGAAAAAAGATGGCTGGAATATGTGGTATACTATATATATATATGTATATATACCAGTATGTATATATGTATATATTCTGCGAGTATGTATCTAAATATCGAATGATCATGTAAAGATGTGTCAATCTCATATACAACTCACATAAGCAACGAAGGAACGTCTTTTTGCCCCAGGAGAAATCACGGGTGTGATCATTGACGGCTTCATGTGTGCCATGGGGTATGGCCTTCCCACTATCATTGGGTATTACCCTCTGGTTATTTAACAGTTTGTCATGGAAAATCACAATTTTTTATGGGTACACCATCTATTATAAATGGGCCATTTTCCATGGCTATGTTAAATAACCAGAGGGTATATGGTGTTATTATGTACTACTTATATATGCTGGCATATGCTGGCTCTATCAACCCCTAATGTATTGATGACTATCCAGAATCACACATGTGCCGGCAATGGCAAATATATGGCTTGTTAGTCCCATAGTAGTCATTGCTTCAGAGGGGATCCTCTAGCAACGGAGATGGTCCTCCAAGCACTCAAATCAGCAATCAACTGAAACATATCATTTCTGGGTAAATTATAATATTTCACTAACCTGAATTAAGGCCATCTGGGGATGATTCCCCTTATTAACCATGATTTCCAGTGAGGTCGTAGTGAGGTCGTTATAATTTACCCAGATCATTTGGGCATGAGTCCAAATTGGGTACCCTTGGGTACCCCTAAAAGTTGAAGCCGAAAAACAAATGTGACCAGTTGCGATCATATTTCCAGGCCAACTTTTCGAGTTGGTGACTTATTTCAGGCTTACTATCTATGTATATATATATATATACATATGGGTTACTATTCCACTTACTGGGTTATATATATATATATGTATATCTGGTTGGTGGTTTCAACCCCTCTGAAAAATATTAGTCAGTTGGGATTATGATTCACAATATTTGGAAAATAAAAAATGTTCGAAACCATCAACCAGAGATGTATATGGGTTATATGGCTATGGATCAATACCTATAAGTACCATTTTTAGTGGGATGAACATCCATTTACCAGCTATTTTGATGTTCACCAGGGGTACAAGGTTTGACACACTGCCATATATGATTATATATAAAGGTGACCTATTTCGGGGTTACTAAGTTACTACCACTGGCATCCAAGGTGCATCCCAGAAGGCTGGCCAGAGCGACCCCCAGGCTTAAAGCCAGCAGTAGGCGAATGGGCCGTTGCACCAAGGCACACAAGAGCCTGCCAGAAATCACGGAACTGCTGCGAATATTTTCGGGAAAACGTAGGGAATACTGATGTGAAGGGGGTGAATTGGATGATTATTTCTATAGTTATGGAATGTTATGGATTGGATCAGTTATATATAATCAACAACTTACTGCTGCGAAACGTAGGGAATAGTGAATTTAGTGAATGGGGGGAATGGGATGATTGTTTGTAGTTATGGATTGGATCATTCCCCCCATTCCCTATGTTTAGCAAAAGTCAGACAAAAAAAGGAAGCGAGGGTCAAATATCAGGATCGAAGCGCGATATTTTGGGGAATTGCTACCCTACATATTCAAATAACACCAACCGATTCTGCAAAAGACAGGGTACAATATATAAAATTACCCCAAAAATGACAATGACCATCATCGCCCCCTCATAGGGTTTGTCTGGAAACAGGGTGTATCCCCCAAATGTGGTGGTGAATCACAATATTTTTATTTAATATTGCCAATAAAATTGCCATAAATGAGCGAGACTGTTACAGTCGACAATGTGAGTGCCATAAATGAACAAATTTCCCAATTCTGGGACAGACCCAGGTATCATATGCCTGTATATCCGATATAATTAAATCCCATTATTAAATTATATCCAGAAAATAGAGAAAACCATAGCCAGTATTCACTGCTATGATGCTGTGTAGGCTATTATCTCCAGTGATTTTGTTTTACCGTATCCATTTTTGATTTGAAAAATTGATGTTAAGTGCCTAGTCTCCATTGCTCCAGGTCACGGAGACTCGTGGCGGTAGACCCGTGCCATGGCTGCCTCTTGAAGAACCTGCGAAGGAAAGGTGAACCGCTGTGGAAGGTGAGCCCCGGTGATTATGGGTGGTTAAGAAATGGGGAAAAGACACCCTAAAAAAGGGGTCAACTGAAGAAGAATCAATATATTTATATTGATTTTAGGAAATTCATGCAATATATATATATATATATAATAATAACAATATTAATAATACTAATTAATAACAACAATTATAATTATTATTATATTATATATAATCTTATATATAATATAATATAATGTGTTCCCGAATAGAATTGAAAATGACAGAAACGGAAACAAAGCAACTGCATCAGTACGTCTGCACCTTTTGCTATGCAGTTGGCTTTGCGGCTGTGTTTCTGTCAGATGCCAATTGCATCTATCACAAAATGGTTTCACAGAAACTCTGAAATGCAGTGGTGGTGTCACACGTCAAAAACCACCCAACCCGCCGGAGCGTTCAGCTCGCGCAATAATGAAGGAAAAACAGGGTTGTAGGTGGGAAAACACCACTGTACACCAGAAAGTCAACCGCAACCACCTGGCTCCAAAGGACCTTAGGTGGCATAATGGTCGGTCTTACGACGTTTCGAATTTTCTGAAAAGGTAGGGGCGCGCATCTGGTCATCCAGAAGAGCCCACAGGAAGCGAAAATGGGAAAAGGCCTCTCTCACTGGTAGTTGTCGATCAGGACGAAACCCAGTGAAGTCAGGATGGGTAAGTTCATCAGCCCATTTGTTGTAGTCCCGCTTCATGTGTGAAGGTGCCAGTTGGCCCATGGAGTTGGTTAGTTTCTCAGAGCAGGTCCCTGCTTCTCAGCGCCTTACACTGCAGCAGCATGTGGCGGAATTTGGGCAGGATGAGATCTTACCCGGATGGAGTGCGCCCTCCAACCATGGCCGACAAAGATTCGAGTGGAATCTTTGTCGGCCATGGTTGGAGGGCGCACTCCATCCGGGTGGAAGATCTCATCCTGCCCAAATTCCGCCACATGCTGCTGCAGTGTAAGGCGCTGAGAAGCAGGGACCTGCTCTGAGAAACTAACCAACTCCATGCCGGCGCCCGAAGCTGCCGTAGGAGGAGGTCGTCCCAAATCTCCAACTTCCACCAAGCCAGCAGCCTTAGTGACCTTAGTGTCGGAAGGGACCCAAGTCGGTCCGGCCTCTGTAATCCTTAGCTGCCAGGATTGGCCTTCCACCTCAATCACCGACAGGGGTGTCACCGACAGATCAACTGGAGAAGAACCTTGGCAGAGAAGGCATTTTGAAAACTGTCCCCATGGTGCACTGCAGTCAGAACAAACTAACTGCGGAGAGGTCCCGGGGTCCTCCTCTTTCAAATTCGACATGGAGCCACCACGCTGCGTAGTGTGCCGAATCTTCAGCATCTGCGTGTGGGCGGCCTCTCGCTTCGAGATGTAGTACACCTCCGCGATCTTGGCAATCAAGGATGCCGTCCACGAAGAGCTGCGGAATGCATCCAAAAGAGAGCGAAGTTCCCCATGAGTGATGTCTCTGAGATACTTGGTGGCAGAGCTCGGCAGGGCCGGGACCAGGGATTCCCAACCTTCAATGGTGAAAGTGTCAGTGTTCTGGTCCATGTGGATCGTCAAAGTCTCCTTCTCCAAAGTCTGCAGAGTCGACCTCGTGGCTGATGAAGCAGCCTGGGAGGCTTGGCGCCAGAAGCTGCCACACCCGTCTCCTGCTTCGGGTCCAACCCCAGGTGCGCCATCACCTTCTCCATTTCTTGGAGCTGCGCAGCAAGGGTCTCCTTTGTGAGGTTGGGATCACACTCAAAATCTGTCACAACCTCGGCCGGCGCAGCCTCGGTTTCCGTTGTGCTGAGTAACATGTAGTCACTCCCTGTGTCCATTTCCGTTCCAATCAGAGAGAAGGAACCCACAGTGCCCGTCTCACTTGCCACTGGACTAGAAGACGCCATAGGCAAAAAGGAGGATCGGAACGTTTTTCGAGTGTTTGGATCACAGGGGGACAGCTTGAGCCAAAATGGCATAGCCATTTTGGCAACTATATCGTCAACACATTACTTGCTCTCCACAAGTTCCAAGCAAAGAAACAAATATATATATATATATATGTGAACAAATTGATCCTTGTTCTGGATATCCTTCGGTTGTAGTTCCCTATGTGCTGATAGTCAGAGCTGTCAAACCATGCAGCAGCGGAGCGCGTTATTTTGGCCTCGCAGTGGGTCTTGAGCCATAGTGGCGTCCCATGCAAGAATGTGCACATGCTCAGCATGTGTGACTACTGTGTTATCTCGTTCCCCTTCGCACCCCCCATGCCTATGGCATCTTCGAACCATAGGCACGAGAGTGGGAACTTTGAATTAGATTCTTCTGCTACTCGAATTACGCCTATGTACATAAAACATGCCATTTGGCTCCCCCTTCCCCACATACCCGTCGGGAATAATGGTTCAGGGTTCGCCTACTCTTTGGCTGTCGATGCATCGGCGCTTCCTCAAGCTGTACAACGCGAATTATTGCTAGCTAACATCTACTTTTCTACGTTGGCTAAGCATGCCACTCACCCGTCGGGAGAAATGGATCGCCTCGCTACCAAAGATTTACAATGCTAACTAACGAATTCACGTGCACAATGCAGAATCTCGTGCAGATTGGGAATATCAAAAGTCTTGAACCTAAGCGAATTAGTCTAATGCCTCGCTCAGTGTCCACTCAGTTGGTCTTTTCCTGATCATCTGTTCATAAAGACGGTAAACATCTTGTAGCCCAGTGATCATTTTGACGGATCGAAGCAATTGGTTTACTGCTCACGGCGGACTTTCTTCCATTGAGGTGCTGTTGGAGTTCTCTCCCATCCTGCCGCACGTTTCGGAGCAGCTTTCGGCGATGAAGGCTTTGCAGGCGGTGCCTTTGATGGTTCATGGGATTTCGGCATAGCCTTGCCCTTTGGTGCGCTAGCCGATGAGGATGATGCTGAACCAGTGCCTTCAGGTGTCTGTGAAGGTTGTGCGGGTGGTTTAGCAAACTTGGAAGCTGCAGTATGTCCAACCGCTTTGAATACTTCACTCACCACTTCGTCGCCAAGGGTTGGAGCCATCTTCGTTTTCATCTCGGTCTTTCCCCTCTGCGCCTCGGCCTCGGCCAGCTGAATAGCATAAGCCATCTTGCTGACAAAGTTTTGAGGTAAAGGAATGCCACATTGTTGGGCGGCAAAGAGCAGTTCTACTCTCTGTTCTTTCTCCCTCAGGCTCAGATATACCGAGAAAGCTGGGAGTTCGATGCAGTTGGGGAAGCCGTGGCTCCCGGAGCGAAAGAAGGTGTATGACTCGTGCTCCGGAAAGGTTCCTTTGAGCAGTCGTCGAAGGAAATTGCTGATGGTTACTCGCATCTCCTGTTTCCCTTGGGCATCAGCCTGCATTCGGTTCATTGGCATGAGAAAGCCTAATGACTCAGGAGTGTACCCGGCGCGTACCAGAAATTCCATCATCTTCTCATAGATCTCTAAAGTCTTGATGACAGGCATCATCATGTTTCTTGGTCGCCCTGAGTATAACTTCTCTCCTTCTGACCATGAATTCCTCTTCCCTTTCTCCTGAAAGAGTTCATCCAACTCCAGCTCCGTCGGGCGCTTGAGGTTGCCATCCTGGTCTTCTCCTGTATAAGGACAGAAGTCGTCCAGGTCCAGCCGGACTCGCTTGGTTTCCGTCATCATCTCATAGTACTCCTCTGGGGTCAGAGTGACTCTCTGTTTGTAGTAGAGCCTGAACATTGTGATGATCTTTGACATGACGGCATTGTCATACAAGTGAGCCGCGGCCTCGGAGACATCATTGTTGATAAGTCCGTCTTCTGGCATACCCTTGCTGCCGCTCTCGAGGTTCTTGGTCCATGCTGGAAGTTTGGAAGAGGGTTCATCTTCAGGTTCGACTTCCATTTCATCGTCGTCTTCTTCAACGATTTCGTCGTCTTCCTGTTGGGCTTCCTCCTCCTGATCCATTTCCTCATCATCGCCTTCGTTGTAGTCGACCTCGTCAGGATTGAAGCCATAGTCGTTGGATTCGGATACGTTTTCTTGTGCTTGATGGACCGTATCCTTGAACAACGATTCTTCTTGTCGACGAACTTCTTCATCGATCTCTTTCTTCGTGGCCTCATCTTCATCGTCTTCAGGAGCTTGTAGCCGATAGGGACGGATTCCACAACTTTCAAGTTCCGTCCAGCAAACTAGACACACTGCTAGTTTTGTCGGCGTCTCATTGAGACAGTGAGGACAATGGCGGCAACCTGATGTTTGCACCCTTTTGCGTTCGACTATGTAGTCAATCAGCTTGATGCGGGCCAGGTATTGCTCTTGTCCGCCAGGCTCGATGAGGTTGTTCTTGAATTGGTTGACGATGTTCATGGCATCCATGGCGGTTTCGTCAAACGGTTGATCTTCGGCGTCGATGCACTGACTTGCAACCCTCAAGATGGACTCCTTGGTGGCTACCGTTCTTGATTTGATAGTTCCAGACCGGACTACCTGGTCGTCGCCCGACGGGACGAACAACCGGAGCCATGTCTTATTGTTTTGGTCCTTTGGGTCCTGAATCCATCCTCCTTTGATTGCCGAGAACGGGATGATCTTTGGTGAGACGATCTGTCCCGAGTCAGTCAGTCGACCGCCATATTCCACCATCAAGGTCTCGGTCGGGACGAACAAGCAAATGTAGTCCCCTCTTCGCGTATCAACGCTCTTCGTGATGGTCCATGATCTGTGATCCCATGGCACATACGGGTTGAAGAACGTGAACATCCGATGACCTTCTCCAAGACCTCCTGGAATTAATCCCTGCCTCCAAATGCTTCGAAGGTTGGTCTTCTTGGTGATGTGGAAACAAACCGGTAACGACAAAATGGTGTTGGGCGCGATTGGATGTGAAAGTAATGAGGACAGCAATGAGACGTCGTCCCTTGAAGATCCTTCTTTGTGCCCCGTAGGAGCACGGACCGCCACAGGGTAGAG